TATGTATGTATGTATGTATGTATGTATGTATGTATGTATGTATGTATGTATGTATGTGTGATGTTCGCTTTGTTTGTTTATAATTCTGTTTTGTATATGATGTTGCTTTGAAGATGATATAAATGATACTTTCTTAAGAATAACGAACTTTTCACATTTATTTTTCATCAGGACTCCTTGAGTGATCGAATCAGTGAGTTTGGATTCCGTATTCACGGTTCAGAAGGCGAAGAGGAAGAAGAGGAGGAAGACGATGAAGTGGACGATTACGAATTTCCCGAGGTGAATGAAGAGAACGGGTAAGTTATGTCGGGGACGTGGACATTCTTTCTGAGAGTACGGCGGCTATCCGGCCACTTCATAGCACGAATTTTTAAGTGATTCATACTCTGTCATCAAAAAAGAGACCAGTTCAGGCAAAAGAACCGCTACTCGAAAGCGCCATAATACGGACCGAAAGAAAGCGTGAGATTTAGGTGTCTATCATTTTCACCACTTCCAACTTTATGGATTTCTTCTATAGAATTTTGAAGAGCAACTGTCAACTATTCTTTTAATTAATTATCATCGTTGTACAGCGTAATACAGTGAAGCGAACTTCACTGATCGCTACCAAACTCATAATTCATACAAGATAAATGAGAATGTGTAACGAGGATGGGTATTGGGTCTATTTCATGGTCGAGAAAAGAAACCGAACCTCTAGGGTCAACACACAGAACTCAGTCCACCTATGCATTGAAACTATTTCAACCGTTAAGAAGATTGCCACCGCTGTCGTTTTACTGCAATGATCTTCAGTGTCTCCAACCATCCAGTTGCGGAGTCTTTTGGACCTTTAAATCGCACAGCTTTTCTCCAGCTGTCTATCTAATACCTGCGTTTCGGAGACCACTTAGTGTGTTCTCCGGTGTTTCGTTTATGACGAAATCGAACAAGAATGGCGTAAGAGAGGACCCTTGACGAACACCACCGCTAGTTGCGAACGACCTACTCAGATCGCCGTAGACCGTTACGCGACCAGAAGCATATGAGTAGAGTGAATTCACTATGTTCACATACTTCTACAGCATTTTCATGCAAAGGAGCGAACCCATAAAGGATTCACGATCAGCTACAGCTGCTACTTCCATTTCACTAGCTCTTGCCCACCATTTTCCATGGTCTGCCTTGAGTCTCTTTATGAGCTGACGTTGCAGACGCCACCTACTCCTCCTTTGACTCCGGCGGTCGGGGTTTGCTACTTCTTCATGAGTGCTACTGACTCATTAGATATCGAACGCCTCGGTAGGGCTTCCGCTTCAGTTCCAGAAGCAACTCTCGCTGCGGAGTGCATTGCTCATCTGATCTGATCCCATTGTTCATCTAGACTGCCACGCTGCAGCGCGTTTAGCTCTTTGTCCAGTTCAAGTTCAAAACAGGCACGAACGGCTGGGTCAGATAAACGATAATCTGACAACCGGAGTTTGTTAGGTTTTACTGCGACCAGTGAGTTGGTTTACTGCTATGTGGTTGGTTTCAGTTAGCGTGCCAGTTGAATGGGAGTGCTACGTTGCTGTTCATTGAAAGCTGTATCGGAAGTTTGTACTGGAAACAGTCAGCTGATGATCCGTGTAGAACTAAAGAAGTCGATCGCCATTATGTTCGCCTAGGCAAGCTTTTGATGCGCTCATTTTTCGAACGTGAGCGAGAACAATTATATCTGAAATTCGGCTCATCCGGATGAGCTAAGAAAGTTTATCATAGAACTGATCTTTCTGTGCATCAGAACTGCAGTTGGTCGGTGCTTGTGCCGAAATGGTGAACAAAGAACTTTTGGTGTTTGGGTCGGTGGTGGCCAAGTGGTTAGGTCACCAATTAGTGACCTGGGAGTCCCGGGTTTGAACCGCTCCACCGCCACCCGTCTTCCGAGGCAGCCTTTGTATGGCCGTGGTCCCCTTCCTGTATAATGACTGTACATTTGTATATTTGATGAATAAAAAAGGAAGTTAAAAGACTTTTTCTTTCCTTCCGGACCCTTAGAGCCGCATCGCATATAAGCAACTGTTGACAGGGATCCAATCGATTAGTAACGTTTCGGCTGTATTATTGAGTAGAATGCTAACGCCACGCTGGTCTACTGAATGGGCTTCATGGTCACCTGACGTGCGGAGGAAGTACACAGCAGATAAATCCGGTACACTTAAGTGGCTAATAGTAATGGAATCCTGGATTCGAGTCTGCGATACACAACCTACATCAATCCTCCAAGAGTCCATTTTACGCACCAGACACGCTTGTTGACCCAACTGCATTAGAGCCCTCACGTTGAAGACCCCCAGATTAGGTGATTGACGAAGCTTCAGAATTTGCAGTAAATTTGGTAATGTACTACTTTCTTATTTGGCAACGAACTTTGGCAAGTAACCAACAAGTTGTCTGAGGGAATGTTACGGGTCGGAAGAAGGGTCAAAGGGAGAGGGTTGGTTACGGAAAACAGGTTGGGATGCCTGAGCAGTAGGCCACTTATCACTACCCATCCCGCCCGATGCAATGGGCAGTGCGGTCCTGATTATCTTGCGTGACGACCGATGCAGTATGGAATTCCTTATAGTTTGTGTGTACAGTGGTGTGATGGACGGGTACTGCTAGGGTGTCTATTGACTAAGCAGGAGAACGAATCAGGTTATCGTCCGAAGCCTTGAGTTCTAACGAGAACCTGACCGCAAGTCAGCGGGTAAAGCTGATTGGAGGTCCATTAACTTGAATCGTTTACTCTTCTACCATTTTACCGACACAGACACTAACTTGAGTCGAACCTTCAGCCTGCAGAACCAGGAGACTTGACTTTGCCCTCTCCCTTTCGACTTTTCAGGCACGATAGACATGGCTTGATAAAAGCTATCCTGTTTAGCTCGTTGAATCAGAGAGAGACACAAGCCATCACACCACGTCCAGATGCAGTCTCTTCGTGATGTTTCAATCATATTTTGCACCGTGTTGAAGTTTTCAGGATAATTGCAACTCGTTTGCTCGAGCACACACGTAGTGTTGAACTACCCTTCACCGGAATTATTTTTATTTGTCACACTTTTCATTATCCGTTCAATACGTATGCTACTGTGTCAGGTTTCAAGCTATGTCGAACAAATCATGGTATTTGTATCTAAGCTTTAGCAATTTATACACACGGTTTCAGTAGAGAACTCTCGTTCTCGTTTTATCCATATTACCTAAAAATTGTGAATACAATTGTTTTTCATTTACATATTCGCATCATGAACTGTTCGCTTGTGTCTTCGATTTCCACCAACCGTCTGCTGGTCATCGTATCGTCAGTCTCAATTTATTGCTTTCTAATCTTCATTTGTGTTCAGAATTGTTATTCCTGACAGCATCCCCTCATTACAACCGTCGCTACAAACACCGGTGATGACGACACCAAAAACATCAAGTGCTCACTCAAAAGAGTTCAGTCAAATTCGTGATTCCGATATTGTATCGGAAATGGAGCAACCGATGCTTGCAGACCCCGGTTCACATTCGCCGGCTCAAAACAACAGATCACATGTGGACCAGGCCCCAAAGAGTGTCGAACCCGATCGGGTGGATGTGGCTGCGGCTGTGAACGGGGCAAAGGTTGCACCATCAGACAAAACTCATTCGGATCCACTACAGGAATTCTATCCGGACAAGTCTGGAGAGTGAGTTCACTTGAGTTTCACTTGTTCGGTCTAATGTGTTTGAATCAACAGATTTCGTCCCTCCTTTCTGCGTACGCTGGCAAAATAAGTAAAGCATCCTCAGTGGAAAAGGATATTGCCGTCCGAGTGCGCGTTCGTGTGCACGTGCCGTATTTACGTATCGTACCACTGTCTAATCAAACTTCCGGATAGTATTGTATACTTAACCCACTGAACCTTGGTCAGATCGACTCTTGTTTCGGATTGGATGCGTCTTACCTTACTGCTGCTGATCAACCCCTCAGTTTGTCTTGACCTGCTTGTCATTGCAATCAGTTGACCTCATCTAGATGATGCAGACCGTTCCACTAATTAACTGACAGGAAATATTTCTCTAGTTTCTCGCTCATTCTCCAACCGCGCACGTCCAAACGGTTTCGTGCACGCTCTTTGTTCATTGTTTCCGGTCAGTCGATTGCCTCGTTCTCAAGAGTCCAGACATGATTGACTCACCTGACTTGCATCGCGGTCATATACGTACGTGATCTTACTTTTCGCACCTGACGAAACGAGTTGGTTAACTTGACTAACTCCTCAAGTGTTTGTTCAGGACTTCGCTTCTCATTCAGTTTTTAGATTGCCCGCGATCATTTTGATCTTCGACTTGAAAGCGATCGTTATAACAGATCTCAATATCAACAGAAATTATCTTTCTGTTCGTATACGGACCGATGCGCAGCAGTCTATGGTACCGTTCTATTTTGTTCCAATTCACGTGTCTTCCGTTAACCATCTCGGATTCTGATCGGTTTCTTTTTTTTGATAACTGGCGTATGGGCCAGTGAAATACGACAAACAATGGTGTATATTGTAGAGATGAAAGTCTAGAGATTATGTGCCACGATGTGTGTAATGAGTACTTGTACTAGCGGGAGGGTGAATCGACAACTAAGTGTTTTTTTATAATATCTGACAGAGTCTTTTAACTTACCGCTCTACCGCCCGAAGCAACAGAGTGTAAATCTAACGCGGCAACGTATAAGAAGAACTTGTGTGTGCGTCTTCAGACGCTTTCACATAAGACCTTTAGGTTTCAATTTTTTTTTCACTGATGCTTTTATCATCGATCTGCCATTTAAGATTTGTATTCAGCCCTATGCATTCATAGGGGAAGTGAAACACGTACGGGGCATAACGTTATGAAGTTTTTTCCTGAGCTTATGTGCAGTTTTGGTATCTAGTGAGTTGCAAAGCGTTAACTCGCATGCATTTTTGCAAATGGTAAACTGTCGTTGTCTCAAACCGGTTTCAGGTCTGAATATTGAATTACAACTCTAATTTGACTGGGGACATCCTTGTCACAAGAGCACAGTCTATGCAATTTACTAGTGGTTAGCGGTTATGAAATTAGCGCACCTCTCCTCGAGATCACACCAGGGTGTTGACAAGTTTCCTCCTTTGTAGATCAATTGAAGCTAACAAATGAGTAACATTTACTTGATATGCGATAAGTGTTTTGTATCTATGTGGAAGAAAGCCAAGTTCACTCGGGAACTAGCATATAGTGGGTGGTAAAGTAGGGCGACTGATGAAAGGTTTGAACATAAGAGCCACCAGAAAATAAGCTACCAGTCTACGTTACTCAACTGTTATCGCCTATAGGGGAGAACGATCATAGGAAAGGTCGGTGGTTGCCCATCCTTCTCATGAGGATAAACTTTGTCTAACCTCTACCCATAGATCTCTCGGCCATGACTGGATTTTCCGCTAGAAAACCTGAGCCTTCTCGTCATGATGACCCAGGGTTTAATGCGGCAAGTTTTTCAAACCTTGGCATCACTTCGTAGTTTGATCTGGATGCAACTAACTACCTGTCTGACGGACAGTACGTATGATGGCAGTCTGTTATGGGACATAAGAAACACGGGTTACAGTTGTCAAGACCGATAAATACCAACGGTTTATGCCAGCCCACAGTTGTGTCAAACTGCATTACTAATCCAGTCATCCCGCAAAACTTGCACACAAATATCGGTTTAACTAGATGATCTTATGGCCTTGACCAGCTTGCGGGATGCCGGTTGGATGTTATAAGATATTCGAATGGACGAAGCTACATGAGCTTTCTGTTATCGTGACAATATTCGGAGCAGTGCAAGCTGAGCAATACAATCTATTTATTTGGTCGTCGTGTTACAAGTTTTCATCAAATTCAGGTGAAGGAAGTGGCTACTATAACTGTCTCGTCACGTGTTTTGTAGCCCCCCAACATCGTAGTCCTTATAAAATTGGAGGTAGTATGGTATTCCAACAAGCATTGCCAGCTGTGGGAAACTCGAACGAACACGTCGTACTATTTCGGGCTTCCCCTCATTACTTCATTTTGTTGTGTGTTATCGTATCAATCGGTCTGTACCGGTTTTCAGGAGCTGCCCACCTCCATGCGCGTTCTGATCCAGGTTGTGAGCAAATTTTGAACCTTGGTGTTAACTCTAACAGTCAATGCTTGTAACGGTTAGTTTCGGTTAGAAACTTCTCGAAGCAGTGTCTTAGGGTTCAAATCATGCTACCAACAGGACTTGGTGCCTTTTGAGTATTGCATCAGCTTTAAGTTCGTAGATTGTGTACTACTTATAGGAAGCATAAACTCCTCATTTCGGCTTTCCATACAAATCATCAAAGCCTATTGATAACACTAGCACCTCGCAGTATTTGACTGTTTAGACATGCGAAATGATTTATGCTGTTCGATATAGATGCTGAACATCATATCAGGAATATATGTCCTCACTTCGTAGATGTACAACCCATCTGATATCTTACGTATTCTACTTTAGGGTAACGAAGATGAGCATAATTTTAATTGTATCAATAAGGACTCGTCTTTTTTTTTTAGGGAGCTAATGTCGTTGCTCAGGCAACTAAAGTTTGCCCAGAAGTTCGCATGGCTTTCCGGGTAAGTTATGTACTCATTTTGTTATGAAATCTTCTGTTTGGAAGTCAAATGCACCTCTCCAACAGTTTGCTGTTTTGGTTTATCCAGTTTATTCCGCACCATCGACTCTTAACGAGCACCTCATTAGACACACTTTTTATTTCACGTCATTCTGTAAAGGAATATATCTCACATGCATTGGGACCTACTATCCATTACTGGACCAGGGTGTTTGAAACCATATAAGAACCCAGTGGAATAGGTGGCGTCTGAAACCGCGTCACTATATACAGCCAATGGTAACAGCTCAATTAGGGTTCTTCGATTACTTTACTCGTCCATGACCCTATAGTTGTTGCTCTAAGGTAGCGATTAGAAAAACTGCCGAACACTGAGTTGACTGTCTTTAGTCAAATTCTGAATATCTTAACCACACAGTAGCATACTCTCGTTTTCAGTAGCTCGTGATAGTGATGATAATGATGACTGATCACAGATCGTACCACTAATCAGACGAGAAGTGCTTTCTGTATAAAAGGCAAATTAAAGTTGCATAGTAATGGAATTTAGTTCAATCTTGAGACTAGATGTAGAGTTCACACTGATTGTTCGTTCTTCTGGAAGCATTGAGAGATAGGTTGTTTGGAGTGGGGTAGGAGAACGGGAGCGTATACACAAATTGTTTTTTTTCCGGTCGCGATGAACAATTCTTAGCGTTTCCTCGAGGGTTAACGTGCGAGAACAAACCTGCTTTGTCAGTCAACGACGGACATTGTATAGGGAGGGGGGGGGATGATTCGGTTTGATTCATTTCAACGAGGCTTGCAACCCCTACATAGGTGAGTCGCTCCGTCGTTTCAGTCATGCAGGGTGGCGCTCATTGCCTCGTCCGGATAGTTATCTAACCGTGCCACTTATGTGCGTTGCCCCACAGGAACCAGTAAATGTGTGCGCTCTGAATAAAGCATCTTTTTTTAATCAAAGTACGTAATCGGTACGGACGTGAACAAAACTGTTCAGTTTGGTTCACACAACCATTAACCATGCATTTTAGTGCAGCGGTTTTAGTTGCTGTCTTTTGATTTTCTATTCGGATGACGGGAGAAAGGTGAGGATTGGAAAATTAGAAGCCAATACCAGTAAAATATGTAAAATAAAATCTGCGCATAATTTGGCTGGGCACACGAGCGCCATTGTTTGAGACACTTAACGATTTCACGATGTTGCTTTCTAACCATCGATTTGACCCACCACGAGGCCCCTAATCAGGAAACTTCCCAGTTTAGTTTTTCACATCCTCAAGTTTTAGTTCTACCTCCATGGGTTAAGTAAAAGTGGGACCTGGACGAGACAAAACCTGTAAAATGCGTTTTACATTTGGTAGGTGCAAAAGACTTATTTAGCACAGATTCACTCAAACCATCCTGAAAAGCTTGAAACTCGCCTGGATATTCATTCAACAACAACACGACATCGTTTGCCTGCTCCCCACGGTCACCTGGGAGTACATCGTTGCCACCATTCTCATACGCAGACAGGACCGTTTTCAGAATTAAATCGATCACATAGTTCCTAAGGCAGAAGGAGAGGAGAATCTTGAACGAACTACTTTCT